GAGGGGCGCTGTCCACCTGGGGACCCCCTGGGGACAGGAGGGGCGCTGTCCACCTGGGGACCCCCTGGGACAGGAGGGGCTCTGTCCACCTGAGGCCTGCAGTCCTCCCCCTGGGGACAGGAGGGGCGCTGTCCACCTGGGGATCCCCCTGGGACAGGAGGGGCTCTGTCCACCTGGGGGCCCCCAGTCCTCTCCCTGGGGACAGTAGGAGCTCTGTCCTCTGAGGTGTGTTCCCTGTGGCTGGCCAGGTGCCAGGGTGTTCCAATCAGGAAGGGCAGGTGCACCGAGGTCAGTCTGCAACCCCGGGCAGGCCTTCACTGTATGTATGTGTCTTTCTCACAAGGGTTTTTCTTTTTCATTTTTTTTTTTTTTTTGGTCAGCTGTGGGGCTTTCAGCTCAAGCCTAGCTCTCTACCACTTGAGCTACAGCACCACTTCAGTTTTCTGAATGGTTTATTGGAGATAGAGTCTCATGCCTGGGCTGGCTTTGAACTGCGATCCTCAGATCTTAGCCTCCTGAATAGCTAGGATTACAGGCGTGAGCCACTGGCACTTGGCTTCTTTCTTTCTCCCTCCCCTCCTTCCTCCTTCCCTCCCTCCCTCCCTCCCTCCCTTCCTTCCTTCCTTTTGTCTGTCAGGGGGCTTCAACTCTAGGCTTAGGCATTGTCCCAGTACTCTTCAGCTCAAGGTGAGCACTCTACTGCTTGAGTCACAGCGCCACTTCCGGTTTTTGAGTGGTTTATTGGAGGTAAGAGTCTCACGGACTTTCCTGCCTGGGCTGGCTTTGAACTGTGATCTTGGGTCTCAGCCTCCTGAGTAGCTAGGATGACAGGCGTGAGCCACTGGTGCCCAGCTGAATCTTCTTTCGTAAAACTCCCTACGCCCCACCTGGCTGCCCTCAGGATGCCCTTCCCCATGCCACTTCTGGGTGGCAGCAGCTGGCAGGATGGGCCTCCCCAGGAGCCCATGGCCCCACAGGCCCTGCCCCGCACCTCTGGGCTTTGATCCACTGCCGAGTGAGGACTTGTGTGTTCCTTCCAGGTGTCCTCAGGTGAGCCGGGACTGCTGGCATGCAGATGAAACACAAACACCTGCTGCTGTGTGTCCCGGCCCCAGTGGGGGTGCAAGGGGGGCTGGTCCAGTTCAGCAGAACCCATCTGCAGGGCTATGGACCCTGCTGGGTCTCGGCGCAAGGCCGGATGGGGTCCAGGGACACAGGCCGCAGCTTCCCTTGCATGGGCTGCCAGTGGTTGCCAGCCTGGGCTGCAGGTGGCTTCCAGGTGTGCTATGGTCGGATGGCATCACGAGGGTCCTCTGTGGCAGGTAGCAGCCTGTCTTTCCCCAGGGGATGGGGACTGGAGTAGAGAAGGAAGTAGCTCTCAAGATCTCTATGGAGCTGGGCACCGGTGGTTCACACCTGTCATCCTAGCTACTGAGGAGCCTGAGATCTGAGGGTCTCAGTTCAAAGCCAGCCTGGGCAGCAAAGTCCATGAAACTCTTATCTCCAATAAACCACCAGAAAACGAAGTGGTGCTGAGGCTCAAGTGGTAGAGTGCTAGCCTTGAGCTGAAAGGTTGAGGAACAGCGCCCGGGTCCAGAGTTCAAGCCCTACAACCAACCAAATAAATGTAAAGATCTGTGGATGAGCCCAGGACAGGAAGACAAGCTGCCCAGCAATGAGGTCCGTGGGGGCCTGCGGGACAGCCTTGTCTGGCGGGGGGAGGGGGTCCTCACCCATGGATCTGGCCTGTGGGAACCAGCAAGAGCCAGACCACTGGGCCAAGCCGGTGGCTGCTGCCCTGAACCTCCCCGCCCCCCTCTGCCCCAAGTGTCTCTGAGACGGGATGGGGTGATTGGCTTGTGTCTCCGCACCTTCCTCGCCTGGCAGGACCCCTGCCTGTGTGCGTGCGGTGGTGGGGCGTGTGTGACTGCTGTTTCCCATCTGGGTGCCCCGGACGCCAGCAGGCGGAGTGAAGGGGGGCGGTGACATTAAGAGAGAGGGCCCTTCATAAGCTTCATACTTCACGTGGCCACAGCCAGCAGATGGAACCAGATGGCCCCGAGGAACAAGGGACGCTGCCTGTGGAGCAGGAGGTGGGTGCGGTGCCTGTGGCCCTGGGCCCCAAGGGATCCCCAGGTCCGACAGGGCCACCCCGATGGGCGCTGTCCCCGGATGCAGCCAGGTGAAGCTGGGCACGCTGGAGCCACGGCCGCAGGCTTGGGGCCTGCGGGGGTGGGGGGAGTCCAGCAGAAAGGGGCGGTTGTACTGACCCCTTCACCGGTGGTGACGACAGTCTGGCTTCGGTGTGCAGATGGAGAAGGGCCGTGCTCTGGGAGGGCTCTCACATGTCCTGTGCTTCCCTCCCGGTCACGGGCGGTCAGCCCACGGCCACCTCCCCAAGGCTGCCTGAGCCTCAGTACTGGAGCCTCGCTTCAATGTGGAAGCGGGCAGGTACATGGTGGGGGCAGAGGGTGTGTTTCCCAGCAAGCCACTGCTGGAGGCCTCTGCTCAGGGGGACCGACCCCCTGGTGGGGACACCCTGGCGCTTGTGCAATGAGGGGGGCCTCCGGGAGAGGGGCTTGGGT